GTTACTAGCTCCAGGTGCACTGCTGATGTACTTAAGCAGACGAAGACTGCGATGTGCACCGAGGCTGGTTGGGCATTTTTTGGTCTCCACTTGAGTATGGGTATTGGACCGGCATAATCCACCCCTGTGTGGAGAAATGCTCTCGATGGTGATACTCTGGCTGCGGGAAGTTGCCCCATTAGCTGTTGAGCTCGTTGAGCACGATATCTGGTACAGATGACGCAGTGAAGGATATGCGATCGAACTGTACCTCTGCCGCCGATTATCCAGTATTGTTGGCGGGTGATTGCTAGTGTCAGTTGAGTACCTCCGTGGAGGGTTCGTCGGTGAGCTTCGTTGATGACCAGTGTGGTGAGATGTGAATAACGAGGCAGGATGATTGGATGAATCTCGTCATGGTCCAGTTGAGCGTTTTTGAGCCGTCCTCCAATTCTCATGACTCCTAGCTCGTCTAGGATTGGAGTCAGCTTTGATAATGGATTTCCTTTTGGTAGTTGATGTTCTCTCTTCAGGATTTTGATTGCTGGAGCAAAGAATTGATTTTGAATTAGTTTTACCCAGAACAGTCGAGCCTCGTTGAGTTCTTCTGGTGTGATGACTGGTGTCTGGGGTGTGAGTTGCCTTCTGAACCTGGTGATTGCTCTGTTGACGGTGGCTATCACTTGCAGCACCTTTGAAAGTGTTGAATATCTCTCTAGCACCTCTGCTAGAGCGTTGACGTTGACCTCAGCTGCGACTAGATGAGCTGGTGTTGGTTTTTCTTCAAGTGAGACTTCTGAGGGAATGTTGATTGTAGATTGTGGCCACTGATCCGGCTCTTGACTTAACCAGTCAGGTCCTGACCACCAGAGTGGATGGTTGATCAGTTGTTTCGTTGAGATTCCCCTGGAGGCGCAATCCGCTGGATTATCCTTTCCGCTGACGTGTCTCCAGGTTGCTTCTGGCAATGTCTCTTGGATTTCTGCTACTCTGTTGTGGACAAATTCCTTCCAGCGTGAAGGATGGCTGGTTATCCACGCCAGAGCAACAGATGAGTCAGACCAGAGGTGAGTTTCCACATTGTCGAGTTCGAGCATCTTGAGAGTTGAGTTTGCAAGACGGGTGAGCAGTAGTGCTGCGGTGAGTTCGAGGCGAGGAATGGTTACTTCCTTGATCGGTGCCACCCTCGTTTTTGCAGAAACGATAATTGTTGAGGCAGGCTCGTTGATTTTCTTCGATCTGATGTAGATTACGGTACTCATTGCTGATTTGGATGCATCGGCGAACCCGTGGAGTTGAACGTTGACCGTGTCTTTTGATAGTCTAAGCCATCTCGGGATTGAGATCTGATCTAGCTCGTTGATTTCCGCTCGAAATCTCCTCCATTGTCGTACGTAGTCCGTCGGCAAGGGTTCATCCCATTTGAGTTTCAATCTCCATAGATCTTGGATGAATATTTTGCCGAGAATGACTACTGGAGCGATGAATCCCAGTGGATCAAAGATCTGGGCGATCTCTGATAGCACTGATCTCTTAGTGAACGTTGTTGAAGTGAAATTCTTGGCCTTATATTTGAAGGTGTCTGTTGATTGCTGCCAGCAAAGGCCTAGGACTTTCATGGTTGATTCTTCGAATTGTACTGTTGAGTTCTGTGGTGAGAGGCCTAATTGTTGCAGGGCTTCTGGTGAGTTGCTGCTCCATTTTTGGAGTGGGAAGCCACCGGCTTCGCAAAGTCCTTGTAGTTGAGTGGCGATTTCTTTTAGTTGATCGATGGAGTCGGCACCTCCATAAATATCGTCGACGTAGCGACCCTTTTTAAGTGTCTCTACTGCTGCTGCGAAGCGGTGACCTCATCCTCTCCCAGTTGTTGAAGGACGCTTAAAGATATCCATGGTGAACAGTTGAGCCCATAGGTGACTGTGGTGAGTTGAAATGTGATTTGTTGATTCTCCTCGTTGAGCTACAAAATTCGTTGAAGATCCCAATCGTCTTGATGAACTCGAATTTGGCGAAACATCTTCACGATATCCGTCCCAAAAACGAACTGGTGTTTCCTCACCCATGTGAGGACGTTGACTGCATCCACTTGCAGTTTTTCTCCGGGATAGAGAATGTCATTTAACCATATTCCTGTTGAGCTTGCACTGGAGCCGTTGAATACGACTCTCAGTTTTGTGGTGACTGCATCGTCTCTCAGAACCCCATGGTGCGGTAGCTAATAGGCTGGGGATGGTTTTGGAGTCTCTGGTGCCTGTTGAAGGTGATTTAACTGTTGATACTCGTTGATGAAGGCTTTGTAGAGGGCTGAGTACGCCTCATCTTTTTGCAGACGTCTCATTACCGAGTGTAGATGACGTGTTGCTTTGAGTCTCGAGTCGCCGAGGGCTGTTGCTGAGGTTTTCAGGGGGAGCCTCACAACATAGCGCCCCGTCTCGTCTCTTGAGTGCGTTGATTTGAAGTGCATCTCGCACTGGTGATCCTCTTGTGATAGCTCATAGCACTCCGTTGAATTGTTGATTTCTTCCTGGACCCAAAATTTTTGGAGAAGCTCGAGTAGC